AGCCAGATGCCACGAATATAACTTTGAAGTTCTGACTCAGGGATGTCAAACTTCTTGGACAACTTGCGAAGGTGTCGCCAAACATTGAGCGGAGGAATGATGGCAATCATTCTCTCAACCGTGTTTAGACCAAGTTCACGAAGTGCCCGCCACAAGGCATCATACGTCAACCCTTTTAGAAAGGCACCGGCAACATCCCAGCTTTCCAGGGTCTTCTGTGGAACATTGACCGCGGACATCAGGATCAGCCTCTGTGACAACCGTGTTGCCGTAGTCGAGCGATTTGACATCATGTTCTTGTAGGGGTCATGGCAGCCTCTGGCACACAGTCGTGACTTCACTATACGACCGCTGGCTGCCTTCTTCCACTTTCTGACCCATATTGCATCTATCACGGCAACGTCCTTGCCCAGATCAGAAAGTCGAACAGGACTGAAAGCTTGTTGTTCAACAAACTGGGCAACCTCCTTCATGTCACCCTCTTCGACCTCTGGCCAAATACCGTACACATCATCCTCGCTGATGTTGCCAGTAGTGGTGTCCACCCGGAAAATCGAGCCTTCGAACAAATCTGCGTACCAGCCATGAGAAGACATGTAGAAGAGCTCATCCTTCTTACTCGTGGGCTTGTACTCGATAAAGTTGTGCTCGAAATGGTCGAGTGGCTCATCTTCAGGTTGAATGAGGCATTGAGCGCGATGCATGGCCAAGAAGGTTTCTGCCATGTACTCAGAGGGTGGCAGCGAGAAAGAGGTCCGTTGCTTCTTGCCCTCGGGACCCAAAACAACAGTGCGGCTATCTGGACCATCACGCTTCATGGACGAAGAATCAACATCCATTGGTGGTTGATCCGCCGGACCTCCTGCAGCATGTGGAGCTTGTGGTACAACAGGTGATTCCTCCATTGGAGTTCCACGTGGTGCCCATGCTGACGCTGGAGGTTCAACGTAGTTCGCCGCATAGCTGAAGAAATAGGTGTAGCACATTTCTTCACGTCCGGAGATTCGAAACGGCACAGTGGACATGTTTGTTCCTTTTGGATTATCCACAATTGACATCCTGACAGTGTTTCTCAGCCAAGCTATCAAAGTCCCGGTAGTGTTGGCGGGCGTGATGATCTTGCGCAGGCCAACCCCCACAATCACGCCGTGGCATTCTTTGGCAGTAAGGAATGCAGAAGCCATGACCACTTCCTCCAAGATTCCTTGTCGCTGCTTGTCATCCATAGTCTTGGGCAATGTAGTCCACTTGCCCTGGTTGTTGAGGAGATGGCCGAAAGTATCTTGACGAAATGGAACACCTGCCTCCGTACTCTGCATCAGACTGCGAAGTGCCAGCCAGGAGTCCAATTCTTCCTTGCGCCGGTTGTCGACCGTTCCATGGTAGTCCGCGTAGTAGGTCCCACGAAACATGCGAAGATTGCGTAGTGGAATGAGGTAAGGACGACCCTGATACTCAACAATCGCTGAACCATTGTCTTGCAGTTTTAGGAGCAATCCTGGGCCACGCCAACCCAAACCATCTGCATCTTCGCGATGAAACTCAATCTCGGAAACTCCTGGCTTCAGGGACTCAGTCTGCACTCTTTGTGGACGTGTGTGGCCAGCACGTGCAATGCGATCTTCCATGATCGACTGAGTGGCCGCTGTGAGTGCAATCTGACGAAGTCGAAGGGCTGTCTCGAACACTGTAGGCCTTGTCATGTTGGCACCAGAAGTAGCTTGGAGACCTGCTGAGTCAATGTCGTAGAATGGGAATGGCAAGCTTCCAGTGACCAACATGTGTGGAGTGTAGCCACCAATGTTGATGGTGGCGTTTTGTGCGAAGCCTGCCTCAGCTGCGATGTCGGCATAGTTGGTTTCCAAGCCAGTGCGCTCGGCCTCGGCATGGATCTTCAGCATGTGCAGCTTGACAAGCTCGGTATGTTTTTCCACAAGGCCTGTGATCGTATGCTGCCCTTGCGCTCGCCCTCTCGTAGTGCCAGCTGGATCTCGCTTGATGTTGAGCCTCTCCAGTTCGGCAGCGGCCTCATGTGACATAAGGCAGCTTTCCTGGTCTGAGACCAGCCGCCGCATTGGTCCGAAGAAGCGTAGCCAATGATGAAGAAGAACCTGTAGAGCAGTAGGCAGATCACGTCCAGCAACTTTGACTACGATCTTGTAGCGAGTGGCAACATCTATCAATATCATGAACCACTGGTTCCAAAGCTGAAAGTAGTCTGCTTGAACTTCTTCGCCAAACACCATAGGATGGTTTGTCTTCACTGCAGGCTTTGACTTGAGTCTGCTGTACTTGCGACAAATGGCACATGATGCGACAACCTCTGGAACCAGCTTGACCACATCGGACGGCATGCCAGCACGAGAAAGCAATGATTGCAGGTCTGAGGCCGTCGAGTGCCAGAAGCGCTCGTGAAGGCCAAGGAGCAGGCGCTTGGCTTGATCCACATCGGATTTGACCAATCGAGGAAGGCGCACAAGAACTCGTCGAAAGTCGAAGTTTGATCTCCTAGGTGGATCAATCAGTGGCGCCTTGTCCTCCATGAGATCAGCCTCATCTTGTTCAGCGTCTTCCAACTGTTCCTGCGCATCCATTGCTTGCTCGTGTGCTTCAGCTTCACGAAGAACTGGGTCTGCTGGTTCATCGTCATCGTCCTCAGGCAGCTTGGTGATGAACTCCGTGGCGCCAGTCCATCGTCCATGCTCTAGTGCTGCTCGAGAGCTGTCGCGAGAGGTCCAATCATCCCGTATGACTACTCGAGGCCCAGGTTCATCATATGGTGTAGCAATTGTCGTTCTTGATGACGCCAACTCATCCATGTTGATCGGGCCTTCGTCCTCTCTCGGAGTGAACAAAGCGACACGTGGTTGTAGATGATGACGAAGGACACGGCCACGTGTTCTGTCAATCTCCCAGTGATCCTTGTCTTGAGGTGATGAGCCAAAAACCGCGATGACCCAATCATCCACAAAGAACTTTGCCTTGAGCTGCTGGTCCGTATAGGTTCGGAGATCCTCAACTGTCTTCATGGTCCATGCCTTAACGTCTCCCCGAATGATCATGCGAAGAGGAGCTGACTCGGTCCTCAGAAAAGGCATGGGCATAGGATAACTCTCGGCATGAAGAGAAACGCACACTCCCTTGACGTTGATGACCTTGAAGAAAATCCGACGGAGGACAGCAATGTGCAAAGGATCTTGACTCCAGTGGTTGTGCTTGCCCTTCATCTCTGAAATGATGTTCACGCTGTCGTTGACCAAGTCCACCAGTAAACTTTTGAGCATGACTGTGTCCACTGCCGTCATGGTGAAGCCCGTTGGAAGTTGCAACTTGATCTCGTCAAGATTGGGCTTCTTCAAGGCATTCCGCTTGTACTCTTCAAGGAGCTGCGGAATTGGAGTGGTCACAGCAGTGCGAACAGGCGGCGATGGCGTTGGGGCGGCGTTGCTTGAAGAAGTAGCTTCGCCTGGTGTAGGTAAGGCAGACGCATGACGACATTCTCGAGGTACCAGTGTATGTTCGGTGCCTGGAGGGGCATCCTTGCCAAGAGCACATTTCTCGCACTTGTATCCGATGAAATGTGCAACGCCAGCGCCAACCTTGGACAGGAACTTCTTCACATCCTTGACAATCGCTCTACACAGTTGATGAGGATACACTGCTGCCAAAGTAGTCCGGTTCATTCCTTGGAATGTGGCTTGAAGAACACCATGACCTGACTTATGACCCCTGCATCTGTGCGTTGACTGTCGGAGTGAAAAGTTCGCTTGGAAGCCGGTGGCCTTCTGAATGGGCTTGCCCTTCTCTTCTGTCGCCCCGTATGCACATTGGTCACAACGTTGCTTTGGTCGGCAGCCCTCGATCTCGTTCTCCAGGTTGGCCAAAGCAGAATGCTTCCACAAAGCTGAGCCCCAAGGATTCTCGACAACGAATCCTTTTCCTCGATCCGCCTGTGACTGTGCCATGCGTTTGATGAACTGAAGTGTTTGTCGCTCTTCCTGACGAAGTGCTTCTTGATCCTCCATAGATAACCGATTAGCTGATTGTGACCAAGGACCACAACTCGGAGAGAACATAACGCAATCGGGATCAGCCGATGTCTGAGCTTGCAGAAGCATTTCTTGGTGTTCTCGATTGCTGAGATCCCATCCATATCGGTAGTCCACGGGGAAAGTGACGGCAAGTCCTGCAAGGAGAGCGACATATGACAATCTCCCGGAACCACTGCATATCTCCCAGAACTGTGACTTCCTCTGGGCTCTGCGAGTCTGCTTCCATTCCGAGAAATTCTCTGGAGTCACGGGACATTGGCCTGATTTTGTGTAGTACTCTTCCTTGATGGCCCGATATTGTCGGTCAAGCTTTGCCCTCTTGTGCTCAGAGAGATCTGACGGATAATGGTCACCATGGTACATGACTGGCATACTGAATTTTGCCTCATGCTCTGCGGTCATCTGCATGTCTGCTGTCAGGACCTGTGTTGCATGAGCCATTGTAGGTTGCCCTATGTACTGAACATTGTGGCCCCCAGAGTCCTTCTCGTTCTCGACTAGTGCATCGGTGGCTGCGGATGTCTCTACTCTATCTAAACTATCCTCTTGATCATTGACCCCCAAGTCCTTCTCGTTCTCGACTAGTGCATCGGTGGCTGCGGATGTCTCTACTCTATCTAAACTATCCTCTTGATCATTGACCCCCGAGTCCTTCTCGTTCTTGACTAGTGCATCTGTGGTGGCTGTGGATGTCGTCTGCTCCTCCTTGTTGCTCGAGGCACTCCCGTGAGGAAGATGATGAGATGGCTCCTCGTTGAGGTTGTAGTCACTCCGCTTCGGCTTTGCAGTCGTCGCCCACGTGAACCAATTTCGAACGTCGTTCCACCTTGTGGTTGACTTCTCCTGGATCGAAGCCAGGAAGGTCTTGGCTTTGTTCTTCTCATCATCGAGCTCCGTTGCACTCGTCTCCTCATCGAGCGGCAAGAGGTAGTGACGGGAGTCTGTGTAGAGCAGACGAATAAGTTGAAGATCACCTCCGTGAGGGATTGCAAGAAGTCCATCACGATTTGTGAACCAGTTTGCAGCCAGAACAGCGCTCATGTTCACCAATGCAGGATTTCCCACCAATGCTGGACACACGCTTGCTTCACCGCCAATCACGTCCGCCTTGTAATTTGCCTCCTTGATGCCCGTCAGCATGGGAAGCGGCATCGTGATCTCGCCCAAAGTGGTGTCAGCTGAGCCGCTTATGCCAGTCACCTCGGCTTGTCGAGGCCTCCACACAATCGTTTCACTGACTTGCTTCGCCTTGTCAATGTGCTGCAGCAAGTCCCTGAGAGTCTCGGTGCCAACCAGGCCATTGGCGGCCCCAGGGTCGATGATCAGGCCACGCCGTCTTCGACCATTGACCGTGTGGTAGACATCGTTGCTCTCAGGCTTTTCATGATAGGTACGATGCCGGGGCGACTCGTCCTCATTGTCTCCATTCTTTCGAAAGAAGAACTCCAGCGTCTTCGCGGGCATCGTGACGTTGGTGTCTTGAGAGGACTCTGCTCCTTGTCCCTCTGAGGATTCGGCATTGGTCGCGTTGACGCTGGTTGTTGGCTTCTGCGCTCGCTCCAAGGTCAGCAAGTCCTCGAAGTAGCGATTGCCAGTTTTGGAGTCGCCGATATCAAAGTACTTCGTGGTGGAGCTTTGCCGAGCAGGTTGTGGGGCATTCTTTGAGAGATCCTTAGGCGGAGAGTCGCCAAGGTGCAAACCAACACGAGCATGTCGAAGTTGATATGGCTCCCATTCTTCGTCGTAGTCCTCATCGACACTGGCAAAGTAGCGAGGCATCCAAGAGCGAGGCTCGTCGGGTGAACTCCACGAACCTTTTGATGACCACTGTGACGGCCATCCTTTTCCACGACCCTTTCGTGCGGATTTGCCCTTGTACTTGCCTTTGCCCTTGCCTTTTCCTTTCGAGGGTTTGCCCTTGCCCTTGCTCTTGCCCTTGCCGTGCGAACCTGGGAAGGAGCTTGATGGTCCTTTGCCTTTTCCTTGCACAGGACAATCTGCTGCTCGATGCCACTTGCTTCCACACACATGGCATCCTGAACCAAAAGGGCCTGCTCCTTTTCCACGTCCGCCTCCTGAGCTGTAGACGCCGTCCGTCTCATAGTCCGCTGTGGACGCAGTAGGCAAGTATGAAGGACGATCTTCGCCTTGATATCCTGGCTCGGATGCCGGATCACCCTGCCAGGGGATCTCTTCAGCCTCATAGTACTCTTCATCCTCGTACCAAGTGCCTTCAGGAGAACCGTCCTCGGCGAACCAAGCATCCTCGGTCCACCAGGCGTCCGTCCAGTAGTCTTCGTCGTGCTCCCAGCCGGGCCAGCCATGCCATTCGCCTTGTTCCGAGGAATGGTCAATCTCCTCGTCGTAAAAGACGTCGCCTGTGGACTGGCCCTTGTCAACTCTGTGGGAAAGCCGAACAGCAAGAGCTCTGATGTCGTGAAATCTGCTCATGTCGCCTTGGACCTGCAACCGTAAGTCATCTTGATGCCTCTGAGACAGTCCACTCTGCTTAAGCCAGAGATAGCTCTTTGCGACGTTGTTGAGGTCCAGGCCGGCTCGAAGTTTCGCCTCATCAAGCCTGAGCTCCCAGTCAGCGGCATATTCCTGAAGGGATTGACTGTGTGGTCGACGGAACTCAAAGAAATTTTCCAGTGCACGAGTCGTCTGCTGCTCGTCGTTGTCGCCATAGGTGTCCCTGAGGGCATTACAGAGCGCCTGGACACCTGATGGAATGTGGTGCTGGATCACGGTGATGCCGTCGTTCGGGTCGAGCACCTCGTCTACCGACAACCGAACCAAAGCTGCGTCTCCGATGTCGTAACCGCCGTCCGGGCGAATCAACTTGAGTTCCAAAGCTAAACGTTGAGCTCCTCCTTGAAGTCGTCCCGCGATCAGTGGTCCCACTACTTCATCTGGAACCTCACAGCATCGGTACCACAACTTGAGCTTTGCGAAGAAAAGCTTCAGAGGGTAGCTTTCCAGACCTGGTTTCCAGCCTGGAGGCACATCCTTCCGCCATTCTTCAAGAGGAACTCCTCCGGTGCTTGGTTGGGACATGTCTTCTCCGTTGCTCAGTCCGACGCGTCGATGCGGAGAATCAGGTAATCGGGCTGGATCGTCACCTGGCCGTAGATCAAGATCTCCAGTGGCCGCCGCGCCGCCGTGGCCCCGAAGAAGCCCAAGGAACTGCAGCCAGCAAAACAGAAGCAAGGCTCCAAGAAGAAGGATCCTTGCCAGAAAGCAAGGCTTTCGTGGTGATGTCGTATGCCTTTCGGCCAGCAATCTCAGTGTTGCCGATGAAGAAAACCTCGTGAGAAAAGCTGTCGTGATTGCTGGGCTTCCAAAGCCCGCAGTCGTCGTGATGACGAGTCGGCGCCTATGGCACACGTGTAGCCTACGGCAGGAGCAGTGCTCCGCTACCAGAATTGAAGCTGGCAAGTTTTGTGATGCTCAAGCCGGCTGCAGTAACGAATCAAGATGCTTCTTGTGCACACCAAGTGAACTGAAACAAAATGACTGAAGCATCTTTCTAGGTGCCATCTACACGGTTTAGGGTTTAGGGTTTGGGGTTTAGGGTCTGGGGTTTAGGGTGTAGGGCTTAGGGTTAGGGATCCACCAACCAAGGAAGAATACGGCCTGACCTCAAGAACCCTTCACCTTAGGAACTGTGGTATCATATCATATTTGGGGGTTTCCGAAAATTAGGGGTACCATTTTGGGGGCCCCCGTAATAAGGACTATGGTATTTTGGGGTCTATATTGGGGTCCCCTTATTTTGGGAAATTGCCATTTGGGTTCATGCAAGATTTTGGCAGTGGTACCCAGTAGTTGGGCTTTGACAGAACTCTGCGGCAGCGGCACCTTTGTCGAAGTGAGGCATTGGACGCTCCTTGCCTTGATACACGAGCAGCGTTGGGAAGCCAGGGGGGTTTTGAGTCAAGAAACGTCCTGAACTTGCGGTCAGGGTAATCCTAAAGGAGGTATAGTATTACTATAGGTATAACTTGGAGGACATACAAAGCGCAGATTGGATTGGCCATTTGAGTTCCATCCAGTCAAGGTTCACTAGAGGGGTTTGGGAATATGTAGGCTTCAAAACATTGTAGTTCTGATCTTGAAGGTTTCAGTGTTGGCTTGCAGCTGCGGTTGCTTCAGTCCATTTGTTGTTCGCACCTCGATTGTGACTATTGATGCCGTGAACATGTTCAATTCAGACAAGTTCATCTTCAGCCTTGCAAATTGCACTGCTCAAAAATCATTGACCGGCTGCTGTTGCCATGGCAGGTCAATGGGCTGCCATTGACGTAAGTCTTTGGCAGGAGAACTTGAACTTACAAGGACACGCCTTCACACTGGCAAGGGCTGAACCGAACCTAATTGCCAGCAAAGTTGAATACTTGACAAATCCTGAAGTAGCAGAGCCCAAGAAAGACCCTGATCCCAACCTACGCCGAGCCCCCTCGTGGACTATATGGGGGTTCATTGCCGCAACGCCAACTTAGGGCACTTCCTCAAGGACAACAAAGAATTGTTTGGGACTGGTTTAAGAAAATGTGTTCCGGCACAACTGGCTTGAGCCACTGCCGTTTCTTCCAGACCCATCATCTAGCTTGCAGAATAGCTGTATCTCAAGGTTTGTTATCAAAACACTTGCCTACAAGCAGGTGCCTTTGCAAAAGGACAACAAACAAGTCGTAAGAACCTGATGAAGTAGTCCCGCGTAATATCCTCAGAGAACGAACTCCACAATTTCGCCGCCCTCCAAGCGTGCCGCCTTCTGCATAGAAGGAGGCACAACCAAAGATAGGTGTGTCCCGGGTCGGCCAGTGCCTCAGCTTCAGTTTCTGCTCTCAACCCCCTGACATGGAAACCTTCAGGCTTTCGGGCTTCAGCTTTTGCCTGGAATGAATCATCGTAGTTTCACATCCTGGTCTGCAGTTTTGCACTAGCAAGTCCTTAGAGACAATCACATATCTCGGGCAGCGATCCATGATATTATAAGCTAGGAGATGAAAATAAAATCTATGTAGCCGTTTTCAGGAGTGGAGTTTCGTCTTTTTGAAGCCCATTCTTCAAAATTCGTCCTACTTGGTTACCTGCACCGCTCCACTCAGAGCAAGAAAACTGTTCACGTAACCTTCTTTCCTCCTGGCAAGATGTTTGGGATCTGTGCGTGTTCGGCTCTTATTCATTCTCGGCCTTCTTTGAGAGCTGCGCCGCTGAACATGCTTGAGAAGCTCTTGTCCGGCTAAGCATCAGACTGAGGGTGCCGTACTTTCAACTAAAATCTTGGGATGTTGGCTGCCTGGTGCTGGTAACACCACTGCAGATATCCCTCACCAAGTCCATCCCTCATTGACCCCTCAGTCAAGCCGCAAGTAGTACAAATCGATGTACTGACATTTCATCCTCGCGATCGATGCCTGCCAGCCAACAAAGCATCAACTCACGGCCCATCTGGCGAACCTCAGGTCCTTTGAACGCTGCGGTGTGGGAACAAGAAAGCCATAGCCAAATCCCAACTCCCAGCCCTCTTCCTAAGGCAGGCGGTTCAGAACGACCAACAACCAGTGCTTTAGCCACTTTAGACCTTCAGCCGGAAACACTGACGTCAAAAACAGACGTCTCTCGAAACGATATGAACCCGTGGATTGTGTAGCCATGATGATTGACCTGCAAGGGCCTTCACAGTTTGCATGATCATGATACAAGTACCTGCTAGGAATCAGGCAAAGATCATTGCAGCAGCCATCATGATGAAAAAATTGGCACAGCTGCAGCTGGAAATGTTCACCCCAATGTATCTCCAGATAAGACCAGGATCAAGTCCCACTGTTAAAACATACGACAAATTCCAAGAGCTCCAGGCAAGGGATCCATGAGGCTACCCCAGTAACACCCTCACATGTCCCAAGTTAACCCTCCACAGCAATCATTCGATCTGAGGGCAAATGCCTTGCAGGAAGCCATAAGCGACTCCGCATCGAATCCCCAAGGCTTCTTCCGCCCTAGGATGAAGATGCTCCCAGTGCTAGTTTAGCTTGGTTTGGGATTTAGGTCGAGGTTGTAATGCTTCAGGATCAGGGCTGAGGTTTTCACATGTAATGCAACTCTTTAACCTTTAGCTCATACAACGGAGGGAAGCAATCCTTCAGGGCTCCCCTTTACCGTAGACCCTAGGACTTGAAGTTACACCTTAGGCCTTGGGATTCTTTGGGTACGGGCGAGGCAGAATTTTTTCCACGAATCTACAGGCTTCATTCAGGGTTGAGGACGTACTCCCAACCCCAATAAATCCCCTTAGCATCTGTCCCTCATGCGCAATTACCTCTAGATTCAGGAGCTCGAAAAGACATGACTTAACCCCAAACTCCTTCAGCCCTGACTCAGCCTGAAGAATCCTTCGAGTTCATGAACTTTCCTCAACGCTGTCAAGGCATTGCTCAGCACAACATGTACTAGCGCAGCGGGATGCCCACAGAGACCGCTTGTGACAAGACATGTTGCGCACGAAACCTGAACTTCACACACCTTACTACAGATTCCTGGTTTGATCTTAGTACCCGTCCAAAGTCCCTTTGCTTTCAAGGACAACCCCCTGCCTTCCAAGTCCGGTGCGCCCAGGTTGGATGGGTTCCTGAGGTGCGGGCAAAAGTTGTCAAGGGCTTAGTCTACCCTTCGCAGATACCAGATATGTAAATTGGAAGAAGCTCATACTGATCACTGTGCTCAGTGAATCATGCTGCATAGAATGCGGCATTTTAACAAGCTTTCGCGAAGATACAGCAATGCGTGCCCTGGTCTTGTATCATCAGCATCTATCAGGGCAGGGAGTTTCTCCCAGTCAACAAAGCACTTCATGGCAATCCCCGAACCACAAATGCTAAACATCCAGGCTCTCTACGAGAATGAAGTCTTGCTTAACTATCCATACCCACACCTAGTAAAGAGGATGGTTGACGACGCTGTGCTGGCCCTTCAAATCTCCCCGCAAGGGCTTCTAAGTAACAAACATGCTCCATCTCCATCTGGCACGCATCATATCAAGCGTAACCTGGTTTCTGGGTGGCTCGTCCCGAAGCAACAGAGCTGCCCATGAAACCCACACTTTTGCTGCCTACAAAAAACACGCAGGTGATAGTTGCATGACTTACCTGCCCTAAAGAATTGGCACTATGACCCTAAAGCTTCATAAGCCGACAAAGCCCTAAGCAATTCCCAGATGAGACCCTTCTGGCGGGATCCGGATGAAAACCTTCCAGCTCCTCCAGCTCCATTTGAAGCTTAACCTCTAAAACACAAGCCTGCTTCCTGGCTGTGCGTCTAGGACACGCCTTGCTGGCAATGTAGAACCTCAATGATGTCAGATATGGCTTTCAGTTTAGGGGCTCCATGGGGTGTTTGTTTTATCAATTTTCGATGTTAGGTGTGTGCGTGTGCGGGACCCTGCATTAAGCATTAGCTTTGCAACCGCAAGGCTGTGAAGCGAAGGGGCTGGTTATTTTCAGAAAACTCCCAAAATCCAACCTGAACTTTACCCGAAGTCCAGACTGGGTGGAATCGAACCCCATATAAAGGCATAGTTCTCAAGCCAACTCACACTCCCATACAGAATTCCTTCATGTGGCCAAGGCCGTCAAGAAGGAACCTAACAGTACTGTGCCTGGCTCAGCCTGGCAAGTTGGAACCGAAATCCTCAAAAAGACTTACTGGTTACGTCCGACACATCCCTACGAAAGCCCTTCGAAAAGCCCATATGAAATCAGCTCGAACCCCAAAGGCAAGGAGCTTGTCGCGCTTCACTGTGCCATTTGCCAGAGCCTTCTCCAGCCAGGTGCCAATCCATTGCTCCGTTAGCTTTCCGCCTTCGAAGGGCACTGGATACCTCAGTGTTGCGCAACACTTGTAATTGCATTTGAGGTTTCTCAAGCCACTGCGATGGGAGTTCCAATTATTAGGAATTCGAAGGGGGACCTAGGGTCACAGCTTAGGGTTTCTTGGGTTCAGGGCAAGAACCGAAACCAGGATGAACAAGTTCAGAATACCCGCCACATCTGCATAGGCACTAACTAGACCAGATGTCTACACAAATGGTGCAAACTTCAAATTTCAGGACTGATGAAACTTCGCATGAGATGAGGCTTATAAGGATTGTACAGGATAAAAGGATTATGGTACAGGTTACCTTGATCTGCTAAGGCCTGCTAAAAACGCAGGGCTTATGAAAACATGCTTTTGAAGGTGTTACAAAGCTTTCATGATCGTAAAGTCTAGACTACTGAAGCTTGATCAATACTGATAAGGCTATTTGAAAATATTCTTGCTGCTTACAAACCGAAGTCTTAGAAGGTTTTCTCAGTCGATCTCCCCTCAGAACCCCACCACCGTCAAATACAGAGACGGGATTAGGGTGAAATGTCACGCAGTGACTGTGCAAGAAGCGTCAGATAAGATCCACGGGGTAGGGAAAAACGCAAGGCTTCCTTGCAAGTCACGCTTGACCAGCCACAATGTCTAGTTATAGGATTTATAGCACATACATAGATATATATATATATGTATATATACATATACCTGTCTATCTATCTAGCTATCTATCTATCTATCTATCTCTCTCTCTCGCTGTCTCTCATTGCTCAGCACCTCACATGGGGTCTCAAGATTCTAGATGTCCGTGCGAACAGCTGCAAATTTCAAACCCAAAGCCTTACACCAAATATTATAATCCAGATTGCAGCTCTGCTGAGTCGATGAAGTTGACGCCCAAGCGGACCTGGAATAAAACGTCGGCTTTTTAGTTTTGGGTTGTGGTATATTGAGGTAATATTCAGGATATACTGTGATAATGGAAAAGAAAATAGAAACTACTATTTACGGTTTAGAGTTTTAGGATTTTTGGTTCAGGGTTTCAAGTCCTGGGCTTTATGTCTGTGGACTTGGGCTTAGATTTGAAGAAATCGAGTTTACACGACACATCCAGCCAGTCGTAGCAACAGAAAAGAATCTGGATCCAAAACACATAGAGGCAAGGACACAGTTGTCCGTGGCCTGGCAGTAACAGGAACGTAATTGAGCTGCCGCATACCGGAACATGAACACACCGTGGAGCATAGCAGACACGCGTATGATGAACAACACTATCCCCATCATTAAAACCCTCATGGCTCTGTTCGTACAAGCCTTATCTAAGCTTCATTTCACTCTACAAAACCCCAAGGAAGGTAGCGTGTTTTGGTCAAAGCAGGGTCGCACAGGACAATGGATCTATGCAGGAGCACTTCCCCGCGAAGTCTCATGGTCATAGTTTTTGCTTGAAGGGACTGCAGTGTCCAGATGGCCTGTTTCAAGCTTTCGTGTGTTTGGGGGAAGGTATGCAATCCTTTGAATGAGGTTCTCAAAGAAACATGAACATTCCCCCACCCTATCACAATCCAGGAGATCGTGGCAATATTGCGCCATGAATCAGGGCCGTGTATATATATATATATACATATCAGGTGGAAGCAATATCCAGGCCTACAGTATGTGGACTTTAACGATGATATATCAACTAGTAATTCGGGGGCGGCAAGGATTTGACCTTCCTGCAGAACAATTGTGCATTTCGAGATTCTCATGTATTTGCGATATGTGCTAAGAAAAACAACGACTATCCTGAGGGTGTGAACCGTAAACCCAAAAAACCCTAAACCCTAAACCCCTAAACCCTAAACCCTAAACCCTCCTCCAGGTGAACCCTAGATGTTGGCCCAAGCCCTCAGGTTGAACTCAGTTGTTCAACTCTCCTTGGTCATCGGAAAATCTCGGCCTGGGAAACGGAATGACCACAAGCCGCTTTATGGTACATGGGGATTTCCCAAAATTAGGGGTACCTTTTTGGGGTCCCTATAACAAGGACTATGGTATATTGGGGTCTATATTGGGGTACCCTAATCTTGGGAAACTACCACATGCATCTAATATGAGCTGTAGTCCAAACTCCTAGTATCCCCCTTAATAGTGGAGAATCGAATGGAAATTTGAATTGAACGCAGCTCGAGCGTGCTCTGAGCATAGCGGGCACTTCTGACCCATCACTCCATACTGCTGTGAAACAACGACACATAGCTAGCCAGAGCTGCCCCGCTTAGCACCACCAA